TTTTATGTATAAATATGTATTAGTTATATTAAAACCGTATTTTATATTAAATACGCAACTTTAAAATGAGTTTGGAGGTTTGGAGGCGTGTAGTCGATTAAAACTAGGATGTCAAGTTTGCAACCCCTGGAATTTTCATATTTTATTAGAAGCTTATGGTTAGTTTGATTCTCATGATATAACTAATGCATATTTATACATTATAGTTTGAATGTAAAAAAAAAAACATCTTATTAGAAGCTTATGCTTAGTCATCATGTCACGTCAGCATGTAACCTGGTTAACCGGTCAAGTGGTCAAAATTGTAACAAATTGGAAAACACAGTGTCAAATTTGAGACAAAAAAAAACACGGTGTCAAATTAGAATTTTGATGTAAACGAAGTGTTTTTTATGCTATTTACCCTAAAAATATATATAAAACAAGACAAACAATTTTTTAGTACAAAATAATCATAAAAAGCAAATGGAAAAGATGCAATCATAGGATACCTTCCTTTTATTAAAATGCTAAATGCCAAAAATTATATTTAAAACCAAGAAGTAATCGGACCCCAGTTGTAAAAAAATAAATAAACATTGCCAATTATTATTACGGCGTCAATTCACATGATTTTAGAAAAAAGGATAACCATTTAGAACCCCGAAAATATATAATATTCTAACGATTTTATTTTTTTACATTTTTTATCTCTGTATACCAATTATATTCAATACAAATATTTATCTACAAATATTCTATCAAACATTTCTTGCACCAACATTTTTTGCTATTAAGAAGTTTGGTTTGAAAGATAATAAGTAATTAAAGCATATATATATAATATATATATATATATATATATATATATATATATATATATATAAAAGTAAACAATTATACATCATACAAATAACTGAATCATATATTTCATCTCGATAAATTATTATACGGATTTTCTAATATATCCAAGTCACATATAAAAAACATGGGTAAGTAGCATAAAAAACACTCTGTTTACACAAAAAATTCTAATTTGACACCGTGTTTTTTTTTTGTCTCAAATTTGACACTGTGTTTTTCAATTTGTTACAATTCTGACCACTTGACCGGTTAACCAGGTTACATGCTGACGTGACATGATGACGTGTCAGTTTTGATGATGTGGTATGCTGATGTGTAAAAAATTGAATTTTTTTTCCACAAAAAACACTAAGTTTTCATTTTTTTCGATTTTGATACTAAGTTTAATTTTTTTCTTTCAATTTTGACACTATGTTTTTTGATCCAAATCGAACATCATTTATCAATTTTTGTTCAATTTTGACCATTTTCCATTTCAATTAAAAACCATAGTTTTCTATAAATAGAAGTTTTTTTTTTATTTTTTATTATTATTTTTTTTTTACATTCAAACCATAATTTTATGTATAAATATGTATTAGTTATTTTAAAACTATATTTTATATTAAAGACGCAACTTAAAATGAGTTGTAGGCGATGTGGGCGTGTAGTCGATTAAAACTAGGATGTCAAGTTGCAACCCCTGGAATTTTCATATTTTATTAGAAGCTTATGGGTAGTTTGATTCTCATGATATAAACTAATGCATATTTATACATTATAGTTTGAATGTAAAAAAAAAACATCTTATTAGAAGCTTATGCTTAGTCATCATGTCACGTCAGCATGTAACCTGGTTAACCGGTCAAGTGGTCAAAATTGTAACAAATTGGAAAACACAGTGTCAAATTTGAGACAAAAAAAAACACGGTGTCAAATTAGAATTTTGATGTAAACGAAGTGTTTTTTATGCTATTTACCCTAAAAATATATATAGAACAAGACAAACAATTTTTTAGTACAAAATAATCATAAAAAGCAAATGGAAAAGATGCAATCATAGGATACCTTCCTTTTATTAAAATGCTAAATGCCAAAATTATATTAAAAAAAACCAAGAAGTAATCGGACCCCAGTTGTAAAAAAATAAATAAACATTGCCAATTATTATTACGGCGTCAATTCACATGATTTTAGAAAAAAGGATAACCATTTAGAACCCCGAAAATATATAATATTCTAACGATTTTATTTTTTTACATTTTTTATAATCTTGTATACCAATTATATTCAATACAAATATTTATCTACAAATATTCTATCAAACATTTCTTGCACCAACATTTTTTGCTATTAAGAAGTTTGGTTTGAAAGATAATAAGTAATTAAAGCATATATTATATATATATATATATATATATATATATAATATATATATATATATATATATATGATGAAGTTCAATAGAGAACCATAATTAACCAATGAACTAAAGAATTAATCGTGAGCGTCAGAAATCATAACAATCAACGGCTAAGGAAATAGATGTATACTTTGAAATTGGACGCACACACACCGGATTATACAAAAAAATCCACCGTTTCCAAAAAAACTCACCACTTTTTTTCGTTTAAATTTTTTTAGGCCATGTTTTTTATCAAAAAAAAAAAAAAAAAAAAAACCCAATATACCGCTGTTCACGATTTTTCGTCCTCTTTCCATAGAGATCAATGATAATATATAAAAAACGAACTTTTTTTTCGAAAAAAACTCACTTCATTTTTTTTTGATGAAAAAAAGTTAAGGACTATTTTTTATAGAAAAAAATTAATAAATATATCAAAATTCATATTTTTTTTTATTTTTAAACATAGATTCATATTCATGTTAAAAAAAACGATATTTCAGTTCAGATTAATATTGTAAACTTGTTCAGATTCACATTATGAACCTCCTCAGATTCACAGTGTGCATAATAATAAGTCAGATTCACAGTGTGAATCTGAACTGATCGGAGCTTTTTCACATTGTGAATGTTAAAATTTGAAATATTTATAGTTTAGATTCACTGTGTGAATCTATACTGATCGAGGTTTTTTTTGTTTTTTTTTTTTTTTTGTGTGAACCTTTTCAGATTCACAGTGTGCATAATAGTAATTCAAATTTACAATATGAATCTGAACTGTTCGAGATTTTTCATATTCTGAATATTAAAAATTGAAATATTTACAGTTTTGATTCACAGTGTGAATCTACACTATTCGAGGTTTTTTTTTTTAATCAGTGTTGATGTTTATTAATAGAGTACAAAAAATTAATATGTTGGTATAGGTAGTAATTAGTTTTTTTTTTTATAAAAATAAACATAAATATTGAAAAAACTAAGAAAATTAAGTGAGTTTTTTTCGAAAAAAAAGTTCAGTTTTTATATATCATCATTGATCTCTATAGAAAGAGGACGAAAAATTATGAACAACGGTATATTCGGTTTTTTTTTTCGATAAAAAATTTGGCTAAAAAAAATTTAAAAGGAAAAAAAAGTGGTTTTCCGGTTTTTTAAACACAAAAAATACATTTGACAATGAGATATATAATATATTATATATATTATATATATAGCTAGATATATATATATATATAGATATATATATATATATATATATAGAGAGAGAGAGAGGTAGGTTATTTTGTTTTTAACATTTATTTTGTGCTACATGCACCAATATGAATTTAGTAAATTAAATAGTTATTTAATTAAATAAATATAGATATTAAATGATTTCCATAATTATATGTATATTAAATGATATCCATAATTATAATTCTCTTTGGAAACTAATTAAATCTGTCATTAATGTCAGCAATAACATTCTTTCAGAATGAATTTGCACATAAGTTTTTATATATGAGTTCGTATTTTGTTTCAAGATTTACTCACTTAAAATACAATAAATTTGAATGAAATATGAAGAACGAGACTGTATTCTACTAGAATACACTCTCATTCTGCTGTAATACATTCTCATTCTTCTAGATATGAATTCATTATGAAAGAATATTATTGTTGACATTAATGACGAATTTAATTAGTTTCAATAAAAATGAGTTCTTAGAAGGATGGATAGCATTTAATACATATAATTAAGAGTAAATTCTTATTGGTGCATTCTAGCACACAATAGATGTGACAAACATTTAAACCTCTCTCTCTCTCTCTCTCTCTCTCTATATATATATATATATATATATATACTATATATATATATATATATATCTATATATATATATATATAATATATATATTATCGAAAAACAAAACTTTGGTGTGAATGAACCATTTAGATGTATATTGAGAAAACAAGTAATGAATATTTAGATAATACCATAACAATATTGATTAGATAAAATAAGCAAAAAAAAACACTTGGATGATTAATTTTTTTAATGACAAACAATAATTCTCTTTTTAGACAATTTTAATGAATAATAAAAAATGAATATTTAAACCGTTTTTTCGAAATATTTTTTATAATTATATATAATGATTTTATATTATAATAAATGATTATAAAAATATTAAAAAATAGTATTTTGGGGAACATGATATTTTGAAACATTAGAAATGTTAAATATATGATATTTATAATTTATAATTTAGGTGAGACAAGTACCATATTTGTATGCTTAAGAACGGAATTCTTCCCAATAAAATATATTAAAAATTTGTTTTCATAAAAATGGTGGTGAGAAGTAATGGTGATGATTTTACAGTAAAAAAAACAAGGATGTTCATAGATTATTTTGCTGCGACTCAAGCTAAAAACCAAACTTTATGGAATGCTTTAATTTCTATTAAACTTAATATCTTCGATCCGTTGGAGGCTTCGCTTGAACCGTCTCACGTCTAAAGATAATCTTCTTTTGCGTGGTTTGATAATATTCCTTGTGTTCTTTTTTTTTTCTTTCATTCTTTATTTAGCTTTTTATCATTTTATGTATCATGGTATATTCGTCTAAGAAAGAACATTTTTTTAACTTCATAACTAAGTAGAAAAAGCATATCCCATGATGAGGAGATGTTGATAGATGTATTTGAATAGTTTATACCTAGCAAGTTCAGTTTAAAACCTAAAGATAAATAATGAGTTGAAGGATCGTGTATTACATGAAATTTTTACCTGAGAGTAGAGATATCACCCGTTGTAGAAATGCCGGCAAGTGGTACATGAAAAGCTTCGGACCATGACAGTTGCCTGAGGCAGGTGGCCGAAGGAGTCCCCCACTGGTAACTCCCCGCTAGAAAATTAAATTTTTGGTTTCCCTGTTTGGTCTTCTCATGAAAAGGTCTACGGAACAATCTCACCTGTTCACATCTCATCTTCTCCAAAACATCCAACGAGACCCCATGATTAATCACTTGAAAAATTCCCCATTCTTGCGAGGCTTTGGCTATCTCCATCTTGCATTTTTCCTCCTCCAGACCTGTAACTAACTGACCAAGATCGATCATTGGAAGTTCTCTTTCTTCTGCTACATCTAAAATCTTGAAATCATTCTTATTCCTTGCATGGCTGTCAAATAATTTCTTGTAGAACTCCTGAAATGGTGGGTCGGACGATTCCATTGATATCAACTGCGAAAAAATTGTTGAACGTGTTATACTTGTATATGTTTTTACTTATGCTTTTCAAACATAAAATATTTTCTTTAACTGTAATTCTAAAAAATAACAAAGCTGGACGTTTTTTAAATTTCGATTTTTAACATTCACTAATTAATGAATAATAAATAGATAGGGTCAAAACACACAAGCAAGAAAAGCAAAGAGATTTCTTGTTATGGTGGTGTTAAATTGGATGATAACAGCGTAGGATCCAATAAATGCTTAGTTTGGAGAGCTTGGTACCAAAAGCTACATAAGAATTCATACATATATGGCAAGCCAGAATCTTTTGAGAAAAATATTCATGGTATACAAAGAAAAAGAATGAACACTAGAAAACAGAAAAAAAATTGATATTGGAAGAAAGAAACAAAGAAGGAGCACCATAAATACAGAATGTAAATTAGCTACATCATGTCCAATTCTAATTAAAAAAGACCGGGATTCATGATTTTCTGCAATAAACATAATGAGGAATCGATTGCAAAATTTCATTATATTATACTAAGAAATACTGTGAATAACTTTCTCAATATTACAGACATGCATACAGGAGCTTAGATGTAGATCCATCAATTAATATCAATTTCTGGAAATACTGTGAATAACTACTCAACCTTCTTCGTGCATCTAAAGATGCACCAGTAAATCTAATAATGCATGACTGAATAATATAGGGAGATGATCTTTTCATCTTGGAATTTAATCACTTCTTCAAAATTAAGAAGGAAAAGTGGATATCATGACATTCGTGTTGCTAATCGCCTTAAAGTGAGGATAATTCTTAGAGATTTGTGGTTAAGGAAATGGTTTTGCAAATAAAGAAACGTGCCATATATGTTTACCTATAACTTCGCTATGTAAGATTCGAGCACACAACACTGATGAAAGAACTTAAAATCCGTTAAGAAAAACTGAGAATCATTTGGGGTGTGGACCAAAAACTAGCACAGAAGATAATTCTCCTACTGCACATCCGAGGAATTTTTGAAGAGATGCCGAGAGAAAGTCCAACAATTTTTCCGGACTTTTGTGTTTTTCATCTGCTTCCGATAGAAAGGTGGAATCTTTTTCTTGACATAAAAGAGATTATTATGTGGCTCCAGATATGAGTTTCAAAGCTAAGCTAGAATAATAAATAGAGTTTTTGTCCATGTTCAGATCATGAACACGATTCGCTAGAAAAGAAGTTCGAGAGAACAGATGAAGGAGGATGATGAAAGTGACGAAGATTGGGAAAAAAGCTTAATTTGTAGGGTTCTGTGGTTTGATGGATGGTGCTTTGGGGATTGAAAAAAAAGACAAAAAAATGTTGTTCGTCAATTCTCGTTGTACATTTTAGGACGATTGGGTGGAAAACACGAACCTTCTTGCAGGTTATCATTTGAGATATAGCTATATGTAAAACCACTATATTTTGCATTTTCTTCTCTACAATTTTTGTTTGTGATAAAAACATAACTTTTCAATAAAGTTTTATTGCGTGTAAATAACGGTCAAACAAGCAATCTCTTAGGTTGCTCCATACGGGCAACCCGGTTCAACGATCCACATCAACGTAGAGAGATGAAAGAGGTGAAGAGAAAAGAAAATGATGTTACACGTTGTTATGGAGGCAACGGAGGGCAACGAAAACGAAGAAAACGGATGAAAACAAAACAGGGGGCGGTGTTTTGGCGTGGTCGCGGCGTTTTTGTAATGCCACCTCACAAAAACGAAAGTGGACGTTGCCCACACCGAGTCTTCTTTTATTTCTTGTATTAAAAATGATATATATATATACATATATATATATATATATATATATATATATATATATATATATATATATATATCCGTCATCGTCACCAGAACCTCTGCCACCCACTGGAACTACGACCATCACTGCCACCACGACCTCTACCTCCGACTACCATATTCATACATGAATAATCACGTTTGAATAAACATAGACTTACTCATATATGAATATACTTATATATTCATATATGAATATATGAATATACTTATATATTCATACATGATTATCTTTATTTATTTATGAATATTACATTCTCCGTCCTTTAGGTATGCTGCAGCACTTAAGCGGCTGATTTGAAATATGTGGCCGAATGGTAGTTGCGGTGGTTTATATTCACATATGAATATTACAGTCCTCCGTTGCCCCAGTACGCATGAGGGTTTTGCGGAACAAAAAATGTGGTATAGATTTTTCTCGGGTTATCAATTTCATAATTTTTTTCATTTGAACATTCCTATATATATATATATATATATATATATATATATATATATATATATATATATATATATATATATATATATATATATACACACACACACAAAACCCTTACGGCTTGAGATTATTTTATGTTCTTCACGCTTAGTGTTTTTTGGAGCGTCTGGATTTGTTTTTCTTCTTCTTATACGCGTTGGGATGGAGATTTTCAGAATAAAATGGAAAGCTTCTTCCAAGTGAGTCATCCGCTCTACAAATTTAGATGGAAGACATGTTTCATTGATGAGTCTTTCCTCTTTCCCAAAACAAGCCTACATATCATCACCTCGTTGTCTTTTAGTCTTTTTATTTCTCTTATATTCCTATTTATCTTTCCTTCTTGGTTCCTCAGTTGTTTTTGTCTTCGATCTACTCCATAGTCAGTCCCCACCAGTTCATGAGTCGTGCTTCAAGTCTTGCCACTACTTCCTTCAATCGTTGCCAGTTGTCCTCTCTATACCAACACCCACTCTCTCAATCTCGATGTAATATTTTTAATCGACGTGCCTTTGATGTAGAAATTTCTTCTAAAGACATTCGACGACTTTAATAATACGCTCTCCTCTTCATCAATACATTTATTTAATTGTTTTCTTTCTATTTCTCTCTACAAACTCCAACGGTCCAGAAGGAGAGACCAAAAACCTTTATTACTTTACTATTGGGGTTTTTTTAGTCCTAATTCGAACTTGGATGCCATCGATTCACCTCTAATTGCACAATACAAAGTGAAGATAAACACTGCTGCTATTTTTACGTATCACCATGAATCAAGGTTCTATTGTTTTTGTTTTTTGGAACAAAAATTAGATGAATATGTCCTCAAAATTGAGTAAGTTTTTCTTTGATTATCAATTTATATGGATCATTTAATGAGTTTCGACTCTTAACAGGATCTGGAATATGGGTGATGATACAACACACCTCAAGTAATCTTTTTCAGGTGATATTTCTTATTTTCACTCGATGCTGTGTTGTTTTTCTCTTCTCAATTTGGTTTTGATTTTATAGTCGGGGATCACTGTTTGTGATCGTGGATATGGCTTTATGTTCCGTTAGAGTATGGTATGCTAGACTCAAATCATAGGGTAAGAAAGACTTCATTGTCACTCTTCATGAACACATTTCCTTTTTATTTTTTGAATTTTATTAGCATTCACAAGTTTTAGCCATCGTATGAAGGTTATTGTGCAACAAGGTATGCATGATATGAGTGTTCTTATGATAACATTCCACTATTTGTATTTTCTGACTCATTGTTTTTTTTTTAAATTTGTGTTTCTGAATTTCCATAAATTTGTTTTATCAATTTTCGATCCTAGCCCTTTTGGATTTGGTGATGTATTATCTATCTATCTTTTACTCAACTTTTTTTTATGATAAGTGATTATATATGCAGATAACAATCTTTTAGTTTATATATGTATTTATGGTATTCATTATCTTACTGGAAAAGGTTTGATGATTCCTTGTGAAAACTTCAGTGATTTTGAAGCTTATGTTGTTTTTATTTTAATTAAGGATTTCCTTTTAGCTATATATAAGATCATAGGTAAAGTTGATTAGGTATAGTTGATTAGTGTTGGAGATAAAAAATTAGGAGTTTTACAAAATTTATTCTTTTAAATTTGAAGTGGCTTCATAAGTTTTGTTTGTCCTTATAACACCCCTCGTATAGGTCTATTTAAATTGACCTTGTTAGAACAAAGTTCTATTAGGATCGATAGATTCTATGCAGGCAAACAATTAAGGACGTAATTATGAACACAAGAATGACTTTAAAGATGTCGTGTGATTAATGCTTTAACACCTCATAAGAGCTCGATTAAGAACTTCGACTGTAGAGGTGCTTAGGGTTACAAAACAATAATAATGATAATCAAGAACATTTCTAATGCATACATGCATGCACTATTTATAGTCTAACCCTACTTGATAATCACGGATGGACAGGCCCAATCCGGATATACAAAACAAGCCCATGACGCAACATAATAAGACTCAACAATCTCCCCCTTTGCGTCAATGGAGCCGAAAGCTCACTTCGGTTGAGCTGCAGAAGACTTCTTGATTGTCTTGAACACCTTCGGTATAATGGCCAATAGATGATGACGAAAAGTAATGTACCACCGAAGCATGTCCGTGAAGTTCTTCTTATCTGCCTCAGAGTTCTGCTTGCACCGATGGATGATATTGATAATGTGCTCTAAGCAGTCTGTTGAAAACAAATGTTTATCAACAAGAGCGAACAGAAAACGATTGGCTTCGCCTCTTGTAAACATTACAGTAAGATGTGTAGAATCGATTTGGCTCATCCTCATTTTGTTCACATCTCCTGGTTTCGCTGTTGGCTTGACTGTCGGTTTCTTATTCATTACTTTCGCTATCTCCTGATCCATAGCAGCAACCTCATGGATGTAAGAGGCCAACATCCTCTTCAAATGATCCAGTATCGGCTCATATTCTTTCGGATTAGTGAGCAGAATGTTAAACAACAGGATCCAGTCATGAGGATTTAAATTTGGAAGGTCTGCCAGGGAAATAATCGACACCGAGTTTGCTGATCCTC